AGGATAATTCATTGGTCATTCAGGAACAATGGGAAAACAATGCTCTCAAGCTTCAGTGTACTTAAGAATCAGATAGAAACTTAATTAGAAAGCGATCTTTTCGGGCCTGCCTCACAAAGTCTGGTTCAGTTATTCTGGGTAAGCTTCTGAAGGGACTTTTTGCAAAAACATTTATTTAGTTGAAAGAATGAGGGAAAGAAAACAGAGCGAGAATATGAATATGACAATGAGAGTGCATCTTCCATTCCCAGGCCACAGTCAGAAATGCAGACTCCATGTGGCTCTCTCATGCGGGTGGCAGGGCCCTGAGCACTTGGGCCTTCCTCTTTCCCTTTCCAGGTGCATCATCAGAAAACTGCATTGGAAGCCAAGAAGCCATGACTTTGGCATTCTGATTGGGTTGCCCTACTTGCAAGTGAAGGAGACATTTTTAAGGAGCCCCCTAAATCAGTAAGTGATTTGAGGATACCTGTTTTGAAGCACTAAATGGTAGTCTAAGGTAGGAGATATATGTTGGGCTTCTGGAGACTGGCTTTTTGGTCTCTGGCAAGGCTAACACAGAGCTGACCCCTGCGCAAGAATGAACACTTAGCAAAAAAATGATAACAGCCAAGAGTGACTGTTTTTCTGTTTCCAGTTGCATTCACTAGGGGGAAGGAAAGCTTTTAAACAACTGAGCTTTCCTAAGGGAGCAGCTGTATTACATACAAGCAACAGGTGTAGTGGTACTATTTGTGTAGCATTTCAAATTTTACAATGCAGGTTTTTCTCACTTGAATGATATTTCCTCTGCTCTACTGATGAATAAACGCACCTGAGTTCACCAAAATAGCAGCGAAGAGACTGACGCCTACTTTTTCTAAATTCTGCGATAGTGGAAGCATACCAGAGTAGTGGAGACTAAGAGCTTTGGGACCAGGCAGGTTTGGCTGGAGTATTAGCTCCTTTACATAAGCAATCTGTCCTCAAACAGCTTACTTACCCTCTTTGAATTTCAAGTCCCTCATCTTTAAAATAGAGATAATAGTGCTTTCCTCATGGGAATATTAAATGAGATAATTTTTAAAATATGCCTGGAACATAGTTGCTGAGTAAATGTAGCACCTCGAGGATAAGCAGAAAAAGAAACAACTTGAGAAAATGAGAATTTAGCATATGGAACACATACCAAAGCTGGGATCTGACTCTAATTAATGAGTAGAATATTGGTAGAATTTTGAGCTTGCCTGTTACCTAGCAACCAAAACGAACTCAATGCCACTGGCTACTTGAGTTGTTTTTAATCAAAGCAGTAATTAAACTGCTCTTAAGGAACTCAAGGTTGTAAGCAAACAAAAGGATTCCCCTGTGGATTTGGAGTTGTGCCAGACATTTTTAAAAATAAGTGATACCCCCAACTCCTCAGCTCCTTGTGCTGAAATATCTTGCCTATTTAGTTGCTCTCCGATTCCATGCTGCTTTTGACAGAAGATTTTAAAACACCTGGTTTGGGTCCAGGGTGGGGACGGAGAAGGCAGATTGCTCACATTTCTATGCCAGGGTAATCATCATTCACTGAAAGCCAAGGATCAGAAACATAAAGCCATCTGTGTTTGCCCTGCTGCCCTTTAGGAGTGTGATAGAGGAAACTGGTCAACGTTAAATAATAACAAGGCAAGTAATTTCTCAAGTGGCTCTTTCTGTCCCCAGAAATAATGGATTGAGCACCACAAGAAGACTGAAGAGGTCTCAAATAGCCCACGAGGATTTTTATTTTCCTAGTAAACCAGTCCTGGAAGAAAATTCTTCTTTGGCTTCCCAGCTTGGGGAGATCACACTGTTGGCTGGGCAGGACATGAGCTTCAAGCTCCCTTTCTGCCCACTGTGTGTCTCTTACTGCATCTTGTGCCTGAAGGCTGGGATGTCACCCATCTTGCACCCCACTTTTCTGATTAGTGGGCTGGACATGAAAATCTAGACTTGGCCTCCATCTTGGCACTAAGTGTGGCAACCACATCAAAGTGTAAGCATTCTGAACACATAAATGCCATTTCTGAGCTTATCAGTAAATTTGCCGTCTGGTTTATGTTGCATTTCATTGAACCTCCTTGTAGCTTCTTTTACATTTCCTTACTCCTTTTTTTCACTCCAAGTGTTAACATTTAAAGAGCAAAAAATGGGTGAGCTTGGAACTCTTATATTGCACTTATGTTGTCATCATTCTTTGTAGCTCACTGTGCAAACTTTTTCGGGGAAGATAAACTTTACTGCTTAGGCAAGAAATCTTTCATGGCACTTTGGTGTATCAGTCTTTATTTACACCGAAGCATGACTTCAGGCCTCCAGGCACCAAGTCAGGCAGCTGGTTGATGAATCATATTCAGCATTCATACAGTGCTGGTAGGCACACAGCTGAGGCACACACACGCCTGCTCCTCACCTGTCCCTGTCAGTTCTTTCTCTGCTAATAAAGTACATCTGTTTTGGTGACTGCACAAACACTATGTGAAGAAAGGAGGGGTGTAGGGTAATTTAATCAGGGCAAGTCAGCACACTTGAGCAATACAGTGGCAAGGATAGAAAGATGGTTTGGTATCAGCCTAATGAAACAGAAGTCGGCTAGAAAAAACTGAAAACACAGTTGCTCTCTTGATCATAATTCATATTTCTTCAATGTAAAGCCCTACGGTAGCCCCAAAATAAAGATTTTAAGGGGACTATATTCCTGCAGTAAATTCCTTTCTGAGTTGTCGCAGCCTCTGCCATTTTTCACATTTTGTTGAGAATTATGAATTTTTAACGAAGTTCAAGCCAAACCTCAGAGCCTGTACTTGCAAGTCTGTTTTTGAATATTGGGTTCCATGGCTATGTTTGGCATCCAGAAGAACTGGTTGCTCTAAAGCATTCTAGCCTAAACAGTAAAACAGCAGGGAGACTGGCATTTGTGGGGAGCAGTTTGCTATTCTCACCATTTATTTCACATTTTGAAACTTTGTTAGTCAAGTTAGTCATGTAGTAGTTGGATTAACTGGGTGGAATGGGGAGGTGGAGGATGGGTGGATGATAGAGGAGACTGAACAAGCACATGCTGAATGTGGGGAATGTATTTGAAAACAAGTTAAACAAAAACAGCAATATGGTGGTAGGTCACAGGTCTATGTACTTTTTTTCCCCATTTTCTTTCTTTTTAATGATTTGCCTTGCACTGTTCTTGAAGTTGTTACTTATGGAGAAAAGAATCACTGTCGAAGATGAAGAGCCGGGAACTTCAGCCACAACAGCTCCTTTATTTCCAATTTGAGTTCTCTTGGCTATTACACTGCTTTAAACAAACAAACAAAACTCCAGCTAAGTCATTTTCATCTCTGTGAGCATTTTTTCCCTCTGAGACAAGATCTATGATATCTGATATTTTAACAGGTGTTCTAGAAATAATCTACTTCAAAATAGATTTTCAAAAATAAAGTGCTAAATATAGCACATAATTCAAGGTTTTTGAATGTTATGATTTTAAAAAATCTAGCTATGGACTGCTTTCCGTTGAAACCATTTATCGTTAGGAATCCTAATGGCAAATGATACATACTGGTGAGTCCTGCTCTGGTATCATAGCTAATTCGCTCCTCAGATCACATAATAGCTTTCTGCCATATGGCTGAGAGGGGAATAATGTATGTGCAGAATTGGAACAGACTTCGTAACATTTTTGACCATCTGGTAAATAAATGTGTAAGTAGTAGGAACACTAATGTTTATTTTAGTTGCATGGATGCAAACTTTAGCCTGACATAGCTGCTATTATAGCAAAACAGTACTAAATTTATATTTCTTGGATAATTTCAGTTTAATTTGTTAAACATTTCATAGTCTATCATGTGCTCCTTAACTATGACTCTTAATTATCTTTCTTAATTTGATTAAATTGGCACTCCTCAGTGTGTTGAACGGAAAACATGTTCATGAGAAGCTGCAAGACTGGATCTGACCCATGGATACAGGTGGTGAAGCTCGGCTCTGCCACTGACTGCTGTACAGCCTGCTTAAATGACACAGCCTCTCTGTCATGTGGAGGTTGTTGCCAGACAGTATCCATCAAAGGCTAGGCTTTGGAAGACCCCGGGTTAATGCATCAGAATCACATGGGGAGCTCTTTCAGCATACAGACATCCAGTTCCCACTCTTGGGGAGTCTGATTCAGTGTGTCTGGGAACAGTCTGTGAATCTGCATTTTTATTCACTATCCCAAGTGACTATCAAGTACACTGAACCACTGCTTTAGAGAGTAGCTGATTGTAGAGCACTTGGCTACCTTGACAATTTGTAGTCAGCTAATTCTAACAAATAGACTTTATATCACAGAAATTTAATTAATGCTCAACAGCATCTGTACTTTGAATATGTTAACTTCATAGAGGGTAGAAAGTCCACTTGCCTAAGTAATGCTGTTGATTCATTAAATGCAAAGGTACTTCAAAAGGTTTGTAGCAAACTGAAATTAAAAGAAAATTTATTTTGATTCCAAAATTTTTTGAAGGAGTTGGCATGTAGTCTATTAGTTTTGATACTCATCCCTTATCACAGTGCCTGAGTTCGATTCCTGACTGTGGCTCCTGACTCTAGTTTCCCACCAATTCAGACTCTGGGAGGTGGTAATAATCGTTCAAATAATAGGGTTCCTGACTCCTGCATTGGAGAGCTACTAGATAGTGATCCTGTCCCTTGACGCTAGCCTAATTACTGTTGCAGCATGTGCCTGGGCAGTGAACCAATGGATACAAATTCTTTGTCCATCTCTCTTTATCTCAAATAAAAAAATATTTTAAAAGTTTCATAATTAGCATTTTGTATGAAGTTTTCAAAGACCCCTCATATCAATTCATAATTTCCAAGTTTTCTGCATGAAAATAAACCTATCTTTTAATTTAATTTCTACAATCTTTTTGAAGAATCTTCATATACCTTTCAATTTTTCTTTTGTTCAATGAGATCTTTTTTATTTCTCTTCTATTTTTCTTGCACAGGAATCAACAAAACTTTGTGGACTAAATCTAAATCAGTATACCAGATGAGCTTTATAAAAAAAAATCAAGATTCCTGCTTGTTCAAGATACATGCCCACTAGTCCTTTAATCAATGTCACCTTGTGTCCATGGTTTCTGTGATTCATGAAGACTGAGCCAAACTCTGATGATGGAAATGCAAAGGACTTGATTACTTGCCCTGATGCCATCTAAGGTCAACTAAAAAGTGAACCAGACAAGTACCAGAACCATGGAAAGAAATTCAAGTTTATGGAAGAACCTCATAGATGAGCATCCAGTCTGCACAGTCTGGAAGCAAGAGGCTGAAGGCGCCATTTATCACCTTGCCAGTATTTTATTTGTAGTAGGTTTCATGGGTGGCAGTGGATTCTTTGGGCTCCTTTATGTTTTTAGTGTGCTGGGATTGGGTTTTCTCTGTTCTGCTGTCTGGGCTTGGGTAGATGTGTGTGCAGCCGACATATTTTCCTGGAATTTTGTACTGTTTGTCATCTGCTTCATGCAATTTGTTCATATTGCCTATCAAGTTCGCAGCATAACCTTTGCCCGAGAATTCCAGGTGTTGTACAGCTCCCTTTTCCAGCCCCTGGGGATCTCTTTGCCTGTCTTCAGAACGATTGCTTTGAGCTCTGAAGTGGTTACTTTGGAAAAGGAGCACTGTTATGCCATGCAGGGGAAAACCTCCATTGATAAACTCTCCCTGCTTGTTTCAGGAAGGTTTGTACCCTTGGTGCTTGCATGTTTTTCCTCTGCATTAATTTTCTGTTTCATTCCACCGTATTTTTCCATCTCAGTGTAGCTTAGTCCTGGGTGGCATTTAGCACAGCAAAGCTTGAGAAAGTCTGAGACATGAGTCATAGACATAGAGCACACACTATACTTTATTGGAAGCAGGAAGTCATTGACAGCCTGACTGTTTCATCTCAGAAATCAAGTAATGTGAATATCAAAATCACAATATGAACTTATTTAACGGGCATCAAATTTTTCTTGTAAGTAGTGACAATGAAGGACAAGATGATGCTAGCTCAAATTACTAGAATGCCTATGTTGGCATATGTGGTTTTTAAAATAAAATCTTTGATAGAACATTCTTGTAAGTAATAGATATTTAATTTTTGAAATCATCAACAAATTCTAGTAATTGCCTAAGCTCTGGAAACAGGGGGAGGGAAATCCTCGAGAATATACTAGAAACCTAAACTTTTGAAATAAAATTTAGTGGGGGAAAAACAATATTATTATTCATGTCATTTTAATTGTCAAAAATTTAGTTTACAGAGGTATTTGCAGCAGAACTCCTTTATGTTTCAAAATGTTCATCAACTTGAATTATGTAGATATATAAATGTACAACTTCCTGAATTTTTTCATGTTTTGCTCAATATTCTAGATTCTTCTGAGGAACGTCAGTGTATTAATCTCATAGGATATTGTCTTGATGTATGATTTTAATCTTTTGCCCAGTAAAAGTTTTAGAGAGGTATTCAGAAGCACTCCTTCCTTATCCCCTGCCCCCAGCGACCTGGTTTCTTTTTCCTTCCGTCATAAAGGATGCTCTTGTTTTGCTAGGATCAGAGTGACAGTTGATGGCGAGTTTCTGCACTACATTTTCCCCTTTCAGTTCCTGGATTCTCCTGAGTGGGATTCACTGAGGCCCACAGAGGAAGGCATTTTTCAGGTAAGGAATAACTGGACACACAATTAAGTAACAATTTTTCTTTCGAGCAGAACATTTTTGGTTTAAAAGCAAGCAGAAAAGCAGAACACGGGGGCACAATCTGCATTTAACTTTGGAATGTACTTTGGAGCACATGGTGGCTTCCCAGTTCTACCCAACCCCTGTTGACTGCTGTCCTTGAGAGGTGTAGCAATGACAAGAACAGGTGTGATATATGAGAGGGAAGAGTCTGTGATGAATGCTTTTAGGCATTCCTTCATGCAACTGCGTATGTGGGAGGTAACATATAAACTCATTGAAGTTTTCAAAATTTAAATTGCTCATAGACATCAGTTGTTCTGCAGCAACAGCATGATAGCAATTTACTGTCACCACTTTCTCCTGCCACATCTAAGCAGCTCTGAAAGATAATTGCTTCAGTAGGTTCAATTTGTTATGCTAAATTGGCTTCCTATGAATGAATAAATATACTATTCACATATAAACAGATAAAATTTGTGTGTATATATATATACACACACAACAAAAATAAATCTATAAATTCTGTTGTACTACACAGAGTTAGGGTTAAGTGACCATAGTTTGAATTGAGTTGGAAAATACAAGAAAACTTCAAAGACCATGAAAAAATTATACATGGGCTTCAACATTTTTGTGCCAACACAAACCTGTTTATTTACCATCTGATACCTTTTTTCATGTTCGTATGGCATCAATACAAATAACACAGATTCAGTGTAGTTCCTTGATACAATTGTTTTGATGATATTCCCTCCCACTCTCCTTCTTTTAACCACCCTAACTCCCTCCTCTCCTTCCTTCTCTGTCCCTTCCTCCTTTCCTCTTTTATTGGGTTTTGAATAACATTTTTAATTTACTTTATAGTTCAGGTTTTAATGTTCTACTAAATAAAGAGTTCAATCAGTAAAAAGTAAAAGATCATGGTTCAGCAGGAAAAACGCAAGGGCTGTAAATAATAATCAAGAGCAAAAGTGGCCATTTCTCTCATACACAGTAAATTTTAAAATAATCGCTGATCATTATGAATATGGTTTAAAACATTGTTAACCATTGATTTTACATAAAATATAAAATAAAGTTTGGCAAGACTATATTTACAGCAATACCGATAAACACAGACATTTTAGTTTATTTATTTACTTACTTATTTTAGTTCCAACAAATAAGGAACAGCATGCAGTATCTGCCTTTGTCCAGCTTAATTCACTGAACATAATATCTTCTAGTGTATCCATTTTGATACACATGGTATGCTTTCATTCTTTTTATAGCTCAATAATACTCCAATGAGTGTGTGTTTGCATAATTTTCTTTATCCATTCATCTGATGATGGGCCCTTTGGTTGATTCCATCTTTTGCCTATTTGAACAAAGCTGCTATAAACATGGTAGTGCTGGTATCTCTTTGATAGAATGTGGGAATATCTCTTGGGTATATACGCAGTAGTGCGATTGCTGGATCATGTGGCAAGCCTATTTCTAGATTTTTAAGAAATTACCACATAGTTTTTTATAGTAGCCAAGACTAATTTACATGTCCACCAAGAGTATGCAAGCATTCCCTTTTGCCCACATTCTCACCAGTTTTTGTTATTTTCTGTGCTTTGGACTGTAGCCGTTCTAACAGGGGTAGGTGGTATATCACTGAAACATGAAGCTGTTTTGTAATTCCATTTTCATTAACTTCTTGAAGTACCCTCCCTCATACTTCTTTAACATTAGCCAGCCCTGGTATTTTTAAATATCAAGTAGCCTTTCCTCTAGCAAAATGCAAAATCTAGATACTCAAGTATAGGAAAATAGATAAAATTGGAGATGGGCACAACATGGTGTTTATTCACAAAATAAATTATAATTAGTAACATTTTGTAATTTTTCTTTTGCTATTTTTATAGTATTTTTGTGAATCGGTGGGCATTTTTAATCTTAAAAAAGCAGCAAGTGAAATTCATGTAAAGATGTAAAGCTGGGGGGAAAAAGTGTGGCACAATTTTCTTCCTAATGTTTGCTTCTATGTCATCTCATTTTTTTTTTAAGGTAACCCTAACAGCTGAAACTGACTGCCGATATGTGTCTTGGAGGAGAAAGAAACTGTATTTGCTCTTTGCTCAGCATCGTTACATCTCCCGCCTGTTTTCAGTTTTAATCGGCAGTGACATTGCAGATAAACTCTATGCCTTGAATGACAGGGTATACATAGGAAAAAGATATCACTATGATATTCGGTTACCCAACTTCTATCAAATGTCAAGTCCAGAAAGACCCAGATCGCCGCTGACAGAACAGTTTCGGAATTCCAGACGATACTGTGATAAATGACATCAAAGTCTGAAATTTCCTATCTATTTTAAAAAGACTTCGTCATTCCCCAAATAAATTGCAAAATACAGAAAATTGAGCTCAATAATATTTTTATAAATCAAATTCAGAGCAACATGCCATTGCCAGATGTTTTACACATCTCATATTCTGCATTGCAAATAAATTTTACAAATGTTTCTTGTGTGTCTTATTATTATAATCAGGGAGGGAGAGTTATAGCTGTGTGCAATCTGAGATTCCCCAGCCTCAGCTTCGTCTCCCATTTGCTCCATGTGTCGGCTTGCCCTCTTAGCTTAGGCACTGATTCTTTAGCAGCTGCCAGCAAGTGTTCTGCGATGACAGCAGGTTGCTGCTGTCCAAATAAGCATTTCCAGAACTCACTTGTTTTGTTATAACCTCTGATGAAAGCAAGATGTACTTTTGCGGGGGCAGCAATTATTTATCTTAAATGTGAAGTTATTTGATATGACTAAAAATGAAATAAATGCAAGAGATCATATTATACCAGTGTTGAATACTATTTTGTTGCCATAATGATTGTTAAGTTTCATCTTAATAGTGACATTTTATAAAAGGGGCATTTCATGGGAAACCAAAATGTATCATAATTACTGAGCAAAAAGAATATAGAACAAATAGTAGAAGTGTTGCATAGCGTTTCAGTGTCTCGTGTTTGACTGGAAGGGCCAAGAGTCAGTGGTTCGACCAGACTCAGAGAAAATACTTTCCTTAACTTACCAACAAACACAAGCATATGCCCTGCAGACATGATTATAGGCTTTTGAAGAAGAATGTGAGAAAGAGACCTCTGACTCCCACTCTTTAGGAAACTGGTTTTCCTAAAGAGCATGTGCAGGCCACGTTCTGTGGTAGGAAGATGCATTATCACATCAGTGTATTAGGTGTCTTCTGTGGCTCCAGCTGCTAACCTGGTCCCTGGGGGTACATGAGGTAGCAGATGGAGAGCCAATCTCTCAATGTAGCTTATTCTGGGTGTGAAGGACAGATGATAAAACAAATCAGAAAAACTGATAGCTAGAAGCTGATAGCACAGATAAATCAGAAAAAGTAGATAGGAAAGAGCATTGCAGAAAGATAAATTAGAAAAAGTAGATAGGAAAGAGCATTGCAGAAAGATAAATTAGAAAAAGTAGATAGGAAAGAGTATTGCAGTTTAAATAGGCTGATGCAAGAAGACCTCAGCAAGAAGACAGTTTCAGACAATGACCTGAAAGATACAAAGGAGTACTTTGGGCAATATGGGTTTGGAGGGGGGATGAGCACCTAGGTACAAGGTAAGCAAATGACAGGTCCTCAGGCATAAACATGACAGGTCTGTTCCAGCTGGGAGCCAATATGGCCATGGCAGAATGAGCCTTTGAGAGAACCAGATTGGGTGGAGCCCAGGAAGTCACATGGAAGACCTCAGACTTCTGAGAGTGAGTAGAACCTCTGTGATATCTGGAGTAGCACAGTGATATACTCGGCCCCATGTTTTGATACTTTAATCTCTCCAGCCATCCCAATGAATAGACTGGAGCAAGGGGGAACAAGAGTAGATCTGAAAAGGAAGATCAGGATAAGGAATGACATGCCTAGTAGACACTGAAGTAGATAGTTGGATATTTGAGTCTGGAGGTCCAGAGAAAACTTGGGCTGGCAGTACTGCTTGGAGAATATTTAGAACCAGAGAGCATTTAAAGACAAAGTGTAGATGAAATAGTCAAGGAAGGGATTATAGATTCAGAAGAAAATGGTCCAAGGATGTTGTCTTTGGTAGGCCCTCCAGAGTTAAGGCTGAGAAAAAGGGAGGAAATTCAGCAAAGAATGTGAGAAGGAAAAGCCAGTGAGTTCAAAAGAAGATACGGAGAGTGTGGAATTCTGGAAGCCAAGCAAAGGAAACCTCAAGAATAAAGAGATAAATTGTGCAGCTGTGGCTAAGAATCCAAGAGATCTGAGAATAACCAGTTGGGCTGAGCAACATCAAAGGTACTGGTTAACTTAACTGGGGCAGTATTGGTGCAGTAATTAGGAACAAAAACTGGAATAAAATAAGTTGAAACAAAAATTGTTTTTTCAAAGCAATTTCAGTGTGAGGGAAAATATAAATGGACAGTATCCTGAGCTGGAAATCAAGAGAGAGTTGTGACTTTTTAATAAAAGAGAAGCTATCATTGAAATGCTGCAGCAGAGGGTGAACCACTAGATTGAGACAGATGGGTGACCATGGAATCCTTTGGTCTTACCCAGGAATCTGGACAATTCATGATATGAAGAGGAAGCAGGGTATTTAGGAGAGCATTGGCTGGCAACTGGGAAATGTTGGGAAAGCTGTGACAATTCTTGAGTGATTACTGCTGTTTTCTTATAGCCTTGGAAAGCAACTTCAGTGAGGATGATGGGGTTATGTAAAGCATCTTCCTTCTTCTGTAAGTTAGCGTCTCTCATAAACTGGGGTATATGACAAGATCTGAATCATTACTCTGGATGAACTACTGAGCTATACAAGTTCAGGATGAATAAGAGAAATGTTGGATGCTTTCATCTCCTGGCTACACAAGGTCATCTTGGCGGCATTCAGAGGCAACACAAAAGGCAGCTATGTGGTGCAACCGAAGGCCGTTGGCATGCTTCTACTAACTTGTTGGGGCTTCACAACAACTTGCAGAGACATTGATTTCTTTGAATCGGGCCTGGCACAATGACCCAATTGGCTAATCCTCCCCTCTTGAAGTACCAGGATCCTATGTGGGCATGATACATGCCCCAACTGCTCCACTTCCCATCCAGCTCCCTGTTTGTGGCCTGAGAGGGTGGTGGAGGATGGCCCAAAGCCTTGGGACCTGTGACCACATAGGAGACCCAGAAGAGGCTTATGGCTCCTGGTTTGGGATCAACTCAGCTTTGGCAAGTTGTGGCCACTTGGTGAGTAAACCAAGTGAAAATCATACATTTAGTATTAGCCAAATGGATTTGGTTTACATAATCCCAGTTTTTGTGGCTAAATCCAAAGGCTCATAATCGGGAGCCAAACATATATCTTCTCTCTGTTAGGTTTGTTCAGGGTATTGATTTCGTTGACATGAAAGCCATGGAGTTTCTTCATGGCTTGTTTGATCTGGCGCTTGTTAGCCTTGACATCCACAATGAACACGAGTGTGTCATTGTCTTCTATTGTCTTCATAGCAACTTAATGGCAGCATGGTAGTCAAGACTGTTTCTTCTTGGAACACCTTTATGAAGATATTTTTATTGCTGCCCAAGGCATAATGTCTTGGACAACCAAAACATAGCTAACATGCTGACTGTTGTGTGTGTGTGTGTGTGTGTGTGTGTGTGTTCACAGATGCCTTTCAGCGCTGTAGCCCCTAAAAGCTTTTGCTCTGGCTTTGGCTCAGGGAGGGGCACCTTCTTGGTGAAATAGCTCAGACTGCTGCTAGTATTTTATAGTTTTCTGAAAATTTTTCATTACATTTTATTTTCAGAAACTTCTTGTTTTAGATTGCTTTCTAGGCATGAAAGTCACCTAACAACAAAATGGGATCTACTTGTCTTTTTTTCATCAAATCATATGGCAGAGGGAGAATGAGATTTTACATGTAAGTTTTTGCAAAAGTAGAACCAGTTTTATCATAACAAAAAGGGGGATACAAGTATAATGTGTTAAAGAAAGGGTAAGGTACGCCTGGAAACCTTACAGTCTGCACTTTTATACAGAGCTGGCACTGTCATTTGCTATTAACAGATGGGCTGTATTACCCAGCACCTTGGTTTGCACTTAGGTTTTGTTAAACAAAAACCTTAAAGCAACCTCTACATAGCAATACTGGATGTCTAGCTTATCATATGCAGCAAACCACATTTTGATATCTAAAAATAATCTGCATAAAAAACAGATGAAGGATATCCTAGAACTGCAATATCACAATACACTCAAAATTCAATTCTTATTGAAAACTGGGTTTATTTTAATTTTAGCATAATTGTTTCTGATCCCAAATTCCTTTGGTTTTCTTGCTAATGAAAACAGTGCAATAAACCAAAGGACAGGACATGTTCATGTGTTTAAAAGCTTTGTGGCTTTGTATACATAACCTGGACGTCCATAAATAATGGAGTTCAAAAAAATATTAAGGATCTCAAGACAGAGGCAGTGACGCATTTAACTAAATGTAGAGCACTTGTCCACCTTAGCCCTCTGTGACAGCACTGTTGGCATGACCAGGGCACTGGCCCTGATTAGGAGTTGTCCCTGCACCTTTTCAAAATAAAGGTGATAAATAAATCTGATGGGGGGGTGGGAGTTTGGGGAGGAATCTCAGCCTATACAAAATTGTGCCACATAATTCAAAATAAAGATATATTCAAAGTAAAAAAAAAATCTCAGCATTGGTTGGTTACAAATTTCTTTGAGGCAGATCAGAAAAGAATCTTCTTTCCAACCAATAGATTTTCAGATTAAGCACTGTAACTAGTAATGCTCCAGCAAAAAGCCTGGGAAATAAATGAAACCCAGTGAGTAATAAAAAATAATAATGATGATAATAAAGGTGCTGCCTTATGAGTTTTTTTGTTGTTGTTGTTGTTTAGATTTATTTATTTTTATTTGAAAGGCAGATTTATAGAAAGGAGAAGAGACAGAAAGATCTTCCATTTCCTGGTATACTGACTAAATGGCCAGTAATGGCTGGAGGTGAGCCAAACCCAAACTGGAGCTAGGAGCCTCTTCTAGGTCTCCCTCATAGGTGCAGGGTCCCAAGGCCTTGGGGCTATCCTCTGTTGCTTTCCCAGACCTTAGTTAGGGAGCTGAATGGGAAGTGGAACAGCCAGGACACAAACTGGGACTCATATGGGATCCTGGAGCTTGCAAGAGGAGGATTAAACAGCTGAACTAGTGCTGGCCATGCCTTATGATTTTCTGTCCTCAACTTTGGGAGGGACCTAAGTACCATGACAGAGAAAGGGAGTGGCTTTGGCATCAAATGAATCTGTAAACAGCACCACCCCACCCCCATGGACACAGGCTCCTTCCGCACACTGGACTGTTGGGTTGCTTCTTTTCCGTGTACCCCACCCCCAGTCTCTTCAGAGCTCTTCCTCTAGACCTGGTGTGACCCCCCTGTGCAGATGTGAGAGAGGACAGTCTACTTTGACCCAGACCCTGCACCCTTAGCTCCTGGGATTAATCTACTGTAAAAAGTGGTATGATGCTTTCCCAGCCCTTCTGCTTGGAGAATTTTTCTCTCCTCTTCAACAGGAGCAAAAGGCAATTCATTTGCTCTCTGCTCATCTGGATAAACTCTGAGTGTCACATTATTACAAGGCACTAGCCCAGAAGCATGCAATTGATTTGACAGAGTAGTTACCAAGTGTAATCTCCTGAGCTGACAAAAGCTGTAAGAAAAACAAACCAGCAGACAGTAGATGTTTTTACATGTTATTGTAAAAACAACTCATTATATAGTATTATGCACATGAGATGCCTGGTTTGATTA